TCACCACAAAAGACACAAGAGGATTAGGAAAATTTGAAAATATAAATCCTAGTTAATTAGATAGCCAAAGAACCAGTATCAGAGAAGGAGCATATTATTCGAAACAATGGAAAAATCTGTTTTTGAGTTAAAGAAAAGTAGGAGAAACAACAGCAAGTTGTACGTTCTGATCAGGAGTGAAATGGTTCAAGGTCGAGGATAATAAATCTCAAGGCATTTTCAGTTACTAAGTAATCCATGCATAATTTATGTCTTTCACGGAGTGGTTTAATTGGATAATTTTTTAAGTGATCAAGGAAACGTAGCTCTCAGAGATTGATTAGTTTTCCACAAAATGGAGGGTATTCTACATTTTAGTGACTAGAAAAGTGTATGGGTACGCCGTCAACTGTATGAACAGTGTTAAAAACAAGGATTTGTCAAGGCATTGTTGTGAGTCGCATGTATAAAACTATGATTAAAACTGATCCTTTCATTTTTATTTTTGACATAATCATACTTATTGGTTAACATCCCTTTTCTTACAGGTTGTTTCCACGGTTCACCGCACACAGCCTTTTTCATGGTCATGTTATCATGATTCCTGGTGAAAGAGGATTAGGTGGAATGTTGCACCAAGTTATTTAATACCCACATCTTTCCATTGGGAGAGGTGTAAAATATGCAATAATTAGCTGTTAGATTATATGACAGACAAAGTTAATTTTTTCACTCCTTCATTTGTTCTTTTCGAAGTGAGAAGTATACTGTAGGTTAGCTATGGCTCGTCACTCGCAACTTACTACACCCTCACTACCGCTCGGGTATAATAATTCTCTTGTTACTTGAAAACCATGCAGTAACCTTTATGTCTATAAGCAAAACTTAGGCGGATGTAGTCGATGAAGCAGCTTACGCTTACTCTTTCGGACCACCTGGTCTTATTCTCCTTGTACTTTTTCATGAGTCTCCGTGTAAATTTTCTTTGTTCATATTTTACCCTATTTTTATGGAATTCAGTTTTGAATTATGATAATGTTGCTATGTTGGTTGAAAGTGTTTTCTTCTTTATATTTATGTACACTATGCAGGTATGTTATATAAAATAACCATCCTTTACCGTATCAAAGTTTAGAAGTGGAGATGTTCTTGCTTGGGCATTCCGCCAGTGAAGACTAGCCTCTCTCCTGTCTGGCCTCGTCCCTTCTCTCTGCGTTTAGCTAGATATAAGATATGATGGAACAAACAAGTGCTATATAAGTTACATAAGGCACCAGTATACAGATGAGCATCGCCACACCGACCAAACACAATTCACATAGCCCTATCTATGCTGACCTGTGTACTAGTATCTAGATAATTAACTACATGTAACATTAGCTGTAGATCATTAAACACAGCTGACCATGTGTAAACCAACATCTGATCGCCTACCTTATCACAACCTAGGAACATGCACATTTCTAACTATACATTCGTATTTCAAACTAAAATTCTTTATAAAATTTGTTTGGTATAATAACATCTAATGTTTCATAGGCATAATAAGGTACAATAGGATATAGTATTTGTTACAATGATACTTGTTTTATTTGTCATCGACGGATGATGTCTATTAATATTAATAGACATCAATATTCATGTTAACTGACTGTATTAAACTGCAACGGTCATTATGAAGTGCAGGTTTCTACATACATATTTATGTTATGGTTACGGATAACATTAGATGCGCTTTATTCCACAGTCGTGTATCTTGTCCCCGAGATCCCACGTTAAAACAGAAATACTTGCCACTCTCTTCGCGGAAGGTAGGCACTGCAGTTAGTTTTGGGAGGAAGAAATATATAGTCCTGAACTATCATGAAATCAAATACCAATAATTATATATCTTGACAGTATATGTTAATCTGATAAAAGTTGTTTATGAATATGAAAATTTTGCCCCCTGTGTGATTCGTATGACCTGCCGTCACGTACATGCATTAAGGCCGGCTAACTCAGACATTCAAATCACTTTGAGTGTATATAAAGAGCAATTATTTGACGTATAACCACATCCATTTTCATTTATAGTCGGGAGACCATTGAACCAATTATATTGTATATGCGGAGTAGATTAAATAATTTCAAAACCGTCATATTTTTACTTTATCATTTGATATTAATCGATTGCGATACTTTAAAATCACTTAGACATGAATTTGAATGTCCATTAAGTACACAATCAAATCAACAGAAAACTGGAGTTTTCCAACCTATGATAAAACTGCATATATTCTAGCGGGCCAATTACTCTCGTTTGCATATAAAAAAAATATGATGGCGGAAAACATGTTACTCGTTAGGGAATAGCAATTCGGATTGAAAGCGACATTGATGGTGCCACTTTAGTTAGTGTGCCTGCACGCCGTCGTTAATCTGATCTTGACGGTGCTACTTCAGCAGAACATATTTCATTACGATGCCCGGACTACTGAAGTGTAAACGAGATAAATATGGACAAAATATTAATAAAGCGACGACCAGACTACATCGTAATCGTATTCCTGATTCAATTTGTCAAAACATCTGCGTACGCAATAACAAGGAAACATACTTCATTTTGTAGCTTTGGGACTTCAATTTTACATACACTATTAGTATAAACATTTTATCCGCCTTTCGAACAATTTTTTTTCTTACGTTCGATTTTAAAAATAATATAATCTGACTGCATCAAGTGTAAAAGAGTCAAAGAGAAATCCGTAACATTTCCTGAGAAAGAACTTATTTCAGCTGTGTTTTCTCGTTTGTTTTTCAATTTATTGATGACTTTGTTGCAGGAGTAATGACAACAATAACCTGTGTGACCCATGAGTAATCAACATACTTGACACATACTTGATAGCAAAATGTATACCTGAACCAACGTCTTCGATTATAGAAATCCACATTCGGCTTAAGTTTTCTGGAGGAAAGGGAGCAGCAGAGAGTCAGAACATAATGTCCATCAGTATAACTGGAACGAAAACTAGCTTCCAAAGGAAACTTAATGTGTACACATACAGATATTGATGTTAACAGTAATAAACCTATTCTTCATATGTAAACGGGAATAGATCAAAACGTCTGGCAATATAACAAGACATCACAGTCAAGCAGTTTATTTTCATTAATTACTGAAAAAGAAAATTTATCATTCAACGAATAAGAGTTGAGGTAAACAGAACACTAGAAACGCGTTTATTCAACAAATATATCCCAACATACGTAAGCGAACGTTAAACGCACAATAATGGAAAACATACAATAATTCATTTTATACTCGATTAACATTTTTAAAACATAAAGCATTTTCGTAGTTTGTCAGTGTACTGTTTATATCAACTTTCCAACAGTTTGTCAGTGTACTGTTTATATCAACTTTCCAACAGTTTGTCAGTGTACTGTTTATATCAACTTTCCAACAGTTTGTCAGTGTACTGTTTATATCAACTTTCCAACAGTTTGCCAATGTACTGTTTATATCAACTTTCCAACAGTTTGTCAGTGTACTGTTTATATCAACTTTCCAACAGTTTGTCAGTATACTGTTTATATAAACTTTCAAACAGTTTGTCAATGTACTGTTTATATCAACTTTCCCATAGTTTGTCAATGTACTGTTTATATCAACTTTCCAACAGTTTATAAAGTACTGTTTTAGCAAATTTCCAACAGTTTGTCTGTATACTGATTATATAAACTTTTCAACAGTTTGTCAATGTACTGTTTATATCAACTTTTCAACAGTTTGTCAGTGTACTGTTTATATCAACTTTCCAACAGTTTGTCAGTGTACTGTTTATATCAACTTTCCAACAGTTTGTCAGTGTACTGTTTATATCAACTTTCCAACAGTTTGTCAGTATACTATTTATATAAACTTTCCAACAGTTTGTCAGTGTACTGTTTATATCAACTTTCCCATAGTTTGTCAGTGTACTGTTTTAGCAAATTTCCAACAGTTTGTCAGTATACTGATTATATAAACTTTTCAACAGTTTGTCAATTACTATTTATATCAATTTTCCAACAGTTTGTCATTGTACTGTTTATATAAACTTTCCAACAATTTGTCATTGTATTGATTTTATCAACTTTCCAACAGTTTGTCAATGTACTGTTTATATCAACTTTCCAACAGTTTGTCAATGTACTGTTTATATCAACTTTCAAACAGTTTGTCAATGTACTGTTTATATAAACTTTTCAATAGTTTGTCAATATACTGTTTATTTTATTTGATATTTTTCCACGATTAGTCAGAGCTTTCCCTTAGTTAGTCCATGTGTCACATGATCAAATGATTTTCTACAGAAAATACACAACATGACACAATGCTTTACCACAGTTTGACATTGTACCACGTGTTTTCTAAAGTTGGTGTACAACGCGACAGTTTCCAGTGTACAACGTAACACTGTGTGTGTCCATAGTTTGTCAATGTTTCCACTGTACAGCGCATCACTGTGCTTGTCCAACGATAGTCGGTATTTCTCATGTACAGCACAATACTGTGCTTGTCCACAGATAGTCAGTATTTCTCTTGTACAGCGCAACACTGTGCTGGTCCAGACATAGTCAGTATTTATAGTGTATAGCGCAACACTGTGCTTGTCCAGACATAGTCAGTATTTCTAGTGTATAGCGCAACACTGTGCTTGTCCAGAGTAGTCAGTATTTCTCTTGTACAGCGCAACACTGTGCTTGTCCAGACATAGTCAATATTTCTAGTGTATAGCGCAACACTGTGCTTGTCCAGAGTAGTCAGTATTTCTCTTGTAAAGCGCAACACTGTGCTTGTCCAGACATAGTCAGTATTTCTAGATTACAGCGCAACACTGTGCTTGTCCAGAGTAGTCAGTATTTCTAGATTACAGCGCAACACTGTGCTTGTCCAGAGTAGTCAGTATTTCTAGATTACAGCGCAACACTCTGCTTTTTCACAGTCAGTCTACCTTTATAATGATTTCTTTCGTCTTGCTGAATGACAATAGTCAGCTGCCTGATGTGGAAGTGTCATCGTCATCCTTTCTGAACGAAACCGTCATATGGCCATTGGAATATTCGACTGACATGAATTTGGCGGGCGAGTAAACTCGCGTTGGCCGCCTGGTCGAATCGGTCAAGGCCGTCCCTCCACTATTTATCGTTGATTGGTGTTTCATAATTTGATGTGAAGCGTCCCCATAGCGATAACAACGCAACAGAGTTTTAAATCCTCTTCTGTACTTTTTGTTAAAAAGACAGTAGATAAGTGGATTGATGCAGCTGTTTGACAAGCCGAGCCACTGAAGAGTCGGGATGACATACCTTGATAGCGTGTCAACGATATCACGAGTCAGATAAGGTGAGTAATAAAACACAAAACGCATCACGTATTGTGGAAGCCAGGATAACGTGAATAAAGTTACAACCATAGCAAACATCTTGACGACTTTGATTTTGGATTTTTGTATGACACCGGTACTGTTAGCTGAATGTCCAGGGGCGTGTCGATTCCACACACGAATCGTGATCATCATATAACAAATCAAAATGAGGACAAGTGGCAGCGCGTAACAGAACAAAAACAGAGCAATGACAAAATAACCTCTCTGAAGGTCATAGGTTGGCCAATGTGTGCCACACATCTTAATGTCATATGGAGGATCACCCACGAATTCTTCGTAATAGATAAACACAGGAAGTTGTACAATGGAGGCTACTGCCCAGATCATTACCAGAGCTACGCGAGAGCTGAATGTCGTAAACAGTTTTCTCCTCCAAGTGTTACAGATGGCCATATACCTAAAAGATACAACAGTGTTAATCAGTTATCAAATAAATATCAATAACAGTTCTAAATAAAAGAGACAACATCACCCACACACAATAAATAATGTGAATACTTTGTGTCTGGCTTGTCAAGTGCTTTGACACTCGGTTACCGCCACCAACAGAATGGCTTTCCAAATAAATTGGGCTTCAATCTTCTCTTATCGATTATTCGGAAAAAAATGCCTTATAATCAACTAAAAACTGAATTATACAATATGTTTGCCCTGTCGAAGGACTTCGAGATCAAGCATGAAGAAGAACACACTTTCTTTGGAAAATACTTTGCTTTGGTCCAACGATCAAAACAATCATGTACCTCCGAAAATGAAAATTTCAGAGCAAGAATTTCACCTTATACAATATAGATATCGGCGTTCGTGTTACATTTAACATGATGTTGACCGTGCAATCGACAACTTAAATTAAATATCGCCTTTGAGTGTGGACTTAAATAGGTGGTATGTCGAATACTAACTAGCACCGAGTAACACAGTTATCCCATCCTTCTTTGGATGCGTTTTATAATGCTTAACATCCTGTCAACACCTGAGGTAATTTAAAGACGATTCATGTTTACACGAGTGAGTGCTTGTGTAGAGTGTCTGCTTACTTGGAGTCTGGATATGTTCGTGTAGGCCTCCTTCTGATACAAAATATATGAAAATGTTAATATCTTGATAAACATGTTGTCGCCTTAAGTTAAAAAGAGGCTCTGACTGTAAAGACCTATAAATGTTATATGTAACAGTAATAGTAGTAGGATGAGTTATTAACACAGTATTGTATTAACACCTTGTTAATTGTATATGCCGAAGAAAACAATTAACCTGCGGTATATATAGTATAGAATTCTCCAGTTATGTCAGAGGCAAAATTCAGAAATTTCATAATTAGAGAAAAGGGGCAATCCAGCTCAGTTCAATCAAATCTAAAATGACTTATAAACACATGCTCCATAATTTGGTCAGCTTGGTACTTTGTTGTATTGTATAGTTTAGAACGTGTTTATTTAACGTATTTAATGTACTCCTGTATACATGTACCTTGTTATATGCATAATCAAATTACTATGTATCTAACACAGGAAATATACGCTTCGTAATGCAGAGTTACCTGCCTTGTGAACAGATTCTAATTGTGAAGTCATTAGCTTGTGTGAAAAAATAACCTTACTCATTTCTTATTCTCACAAAGAGGCTGAATACTAAAAACATTTGTATACTTAAAAAACAGAAAATGATAATATATAAGCTGAATAATTGTTCACTGATTACTTTAAAACTCTTATTTTGCAATATTAAAGGCTCGTTCGATTGGTAAAAAATGAGTTTAAGGATAGTGATTATGCACTATATAGGAAAATAATTGTTTGTGACACGTAGAGTGCATGAACAATGTGATCAGGGGTGGTATTACAACGCATGGAAGGACCTCTTTGGTTGTTTAGATTGCAGCTCTAACGAGCGAGTTTGGGAAAAAATTGAAATAACATCACACTGTCGCACAGTACATCACACTGTCGTACATAACATCACACTGTCGTACAATATATAACATTGTCGTACAGTACATCACACTGTCATACAGTACATCACACTATCGTTCAGTACATCACACTGTCGTACATAACATCACACTGTCGTACAGTATATAACTTTGTCGTACAGTACATCACACTATCCTACAGTACATCACACTGTCGTACAGTGCATCACATTGTCGTACAGCACATCATACTGTCGTTCATAACATCACACTGTCGTTCATAACATCACACTGTCGTACAGTATATCACATTGTCGTACAGTACATCAAATTGTCGTACATAACATCACACTGTCGTACAGTATATCACATTGTCGTACAGTACATCACACTGTCGTACAGTACATCAAATTGTCGTACATAACATCACACTGTCGTACAGTACATCACACTGTCATACAGTACATCACATTGTCGTACAGTACATCACACTGTCGTACACTACATCACACTGTCGTACAAAACATCATACTGTCGTACAGTACATCACACTGTCGTACACTACATCACACTGTCGTACAGTACATCACACTGTCGTACAGTACAATACACTGTCGTTCAGTACATCACAATGCCGTACAGTACATCACACTATCGTACAGTACTTCACACCCTCGTACAGTACATCACACTGTCGTTCAGTACATCACACTGTCGTTCAGTACATCATACTGTCGTACATAACATCACACTGTCGTACAATACATCACACTATCGTACAGTACATCACAATGCCGTACAGTACATCACACTATCGTACAGTACATCACACTATCGTACAGTACATCACACTGTCTTACAGTACATCATACTGTCGTACATAACATCACACTGTCGCACAGTACATCACACTGTCGTACAGTACATCACACTGTCGCACAGTACATCACATTGTCGTTCAGTACATCACACTGTTGTACATAACATCACACTGTCGTACAGTATATCACATTGTCGTACAGTATATCACATTGTCGTACAGTACATCACACTGTCGTTCAGTACATCACACTGTCGTACATAACATCACACTGTCGTACAATACATCATACTATCGTACAGTACATCACATTGTCGTACAGTACATCACACTGTCGTACAATACATCACACTATCGTACAGTACATCACATTGTCGTGCAGTACATCACACTGTCGTACAGTACATCACAATGCCGTACAGTACAATACACTGCCGTACTGTACATCACACTGTCGTACAGTACATCACATTGTCGTGCAGTACATCACACTGTCGTACAGTACATTACACTGTCGTACAGTACATCACACTGTTGTTAGTACATCACATTGTCGTACAGTACATCACACTGTCGTACAGTGCATCACACCCTCGTACACTACATCACACTGTCATACACTACATTACATTGACATACAGTACATCACACTGTCGTACAGTACATCACATTGTCGTACAGTACATCACACTGTCGTACAGTACATCACATTGTCGTACAGTACATTACACTGTCGTACAGTACATCACATTATCGTTCCGTACATTACACTGTCGTACATAACATCACACTGTCGTACAGTACATCACACTATCGTACATAACATTACAATGTCGTACATTGTCACATTGTCGCACATTACACTGTCGCACATTGTCAGGTATTTCTGGACAATCAGTTTCGTGCGTCGTACATGTGTAGTATGCATCAATGGATGGCCATAATTTCACTTTCTACTGACTAAATGTCTGATCCACTACGACATTATGAAGATAATACATTGTAAAAATATTTTAAATACAGTCGCAATGCACTGTTTGTCAATTAGTATACTTTCTGTAACATGATAACTGACATGTATGTAGTTGGTTCTCTTGAATTTTTGCAAATTATTGTTCATTTTTCATTTAAGATTTAATATAAATGGATAAAATTTGACATGCGTGTACGTACCTATCCACTGCAATGACAGCTAAGGTGTTAACGGAGGCACAGACAGACACATGTTGGATAAAGGGAGTGGTTTTACAAAGCACTGAGCCAAACGGCCAACCTGAAACATAAAAAAAATCAAACTTAACTGAAAGTTTCTTTAGACCACTTTCTAACCGAACGATTATCTTATCCGTACATTTACAATGTTTATAGCCATGTGGTAATAACAGACAAAGGCGAATGACCTTTCACTGAAAACCACAAAATATCAATTATTTCCAATAAATTTTATAGGACAATAACAAGAAAACATTAAGATGTCAACGGCATTTTAGTTCGAACTTTAATATTTATAAATGGGGAGAAAAATTGTAAGACCAGAAATATTCACAAAGCCATCGCAGAATAAAACAAAACAAAACAAATAGCAAAGGATCAGGCGTTAAGGATTTGTCGCCTTATGTGTCATCGACAACATCGGCCATGTCAACATAAAAGTTAATCGAAGTGAAGTAATATTCTCTAAGTAATGACCTCAAAGCCGTCAGGTGTATCAACGAAACCAACAGGTGTATCAACAAAAAACAAGTGTATCAACGAAACTACCAGATGTATCAACGAAAACCAACAGGTGTATCAACGAAACCAACAGGTGTATCAACAAAACCAACAGGTGTATCAACAAAATCAACAGGTGTACCAACGAAACCAACAGGTGTATCATCGAAACCAACAGGTGTATCATCGAAACCAACAGGTGTATCAACGAAATCAACAGGTGTATCAACGATACCAACAGGTGTATCAACAAAACCACCAGGTGTATCATCGAAACCAACAGGTGTATCAACGAAATCAACAGGTGTATCAACAAAAACCACCATGTGTATCAACAAAAACCAACAGGTGTATCAACGAAACCAACAGGTGTATCAACGAAACCACCATGTGTATCAACGAAACCAACAGGTGTATCAACGAAAACCAACAGGTGTATCAACGAAACCAACAGGTGTATCAACAAAACCAACAGGTGTATCAACAAAATCAACAGGTGTATCAACAAAACCAACAGGTGTATCATCGAAACCAACAGGTGTATCAACGAAATCAACAGGTGTATCAACGATACCAACAGGTGTATCAACAAAACCACCAGGTGTATCATCGAAACCAACAGGTGTATCAACGAAATCAACAGGTGTAGCAACAAAAACCACCATGTGTATCAACAAAAACCACCATGTGTATCAACGAAACCAACAGGTGTATCAACAATACCAACAGGTGTATCAACGAAACCACCAGGTGTATCAACGAAACCAACAGGTGTATCAACGAAACCACCAGGTGTATCAACGAAACCAACAGGTGTATCAACGAAACCAACAGGTGTATCAACGATACCAACAGGTGTATCAACGAAACCACCATGTGTATCAACGAAATCAACAGGTGTATCAACGAAACCATCAGGTGTATCAACGAAACCAACAGGTGTATCAA